CCGGGACGGAGTGGTCCAATAAAACGAACGCGACTGTGGCCTCAACGAGTCAGTCCTTGACTCGGACGCAATCTTTCTCGACGACGGCTCATCCAGGAGAGGAAGTCGGAGTGTTAGGAACGTGAGCAAGCTAAACTAAACGTAGCAATCGAACAATGAACATTGGCAGATTATTGTTCCCAGCGTCTTGAGGATGCCCTGCCATCAAATCGCTGCCATATGCTGATCGAAACTGATTCATAAGGGAAAATGTTGCAGGGCTGAAGGGCATGGACTGGAAGTTCAGAAGTCGCAAGCTGCTGTTCACGCCGGAAACGGATGGCCGGCTTATTACCCCTCCTAGACTCCAGATAACTAAGGCTATCACGCTCATGGGTCATGAAAAGGGTCGATCTGAAAGCCTTAGGGCGGAAGCCCTCGGCTCGTGAGGTGGCAGGGAATCCGCGAATCTTATGTGACGGCTCGACTACCGTGCCGTTAACTGCGTTTGTGTCTGCTTGGGTGGTTGCCGTTGTAGCTCAGTGCTTTCGCCGTTTGTTTCTTTCCTGAAAACTTTGGTCTTTAAGCCACCACAATCTTTGCGGCAGACGAGGACATTAAGGAAGGCCAGTCGGCTGTTTTCCTCTTCCTCCATCGTAAATTGCATGTCCGGAAAGACGACGTTGAGGTGTTCTTCGAATTCCGGCACCCGATCCCGTAAGATGACGATGACGGTTTGTGGTGTTGGAAAATCAGTGAGCCCAACCGTTGTAGGACCGCTTCGGCTATGAGTTCTGAAATCGGCGAATCAATTTACAGTCGAGGAAGAGGAAAACAACCAGCTGGCCTTTCTTGATGTCCTCGTCTGCCGCAAAGATTGTGTTGGCTTAAAAACCAAAGTATTCAGGAAGGAGACAAATACGATGCGAGTACTGAGCTACAACGGCAACCACTCAAACAGACGCAAACGCATTTGCATAAGGGTGCTATAGCAGCAGGTGGAGACACACTGCAGTGAACCGGAAGACAAGGTTGCTGAATTACAATACTTTCGACGGGTGCTCAATTTGAACGGCTATCCGCGCAACTTCGTCAACCAGCGCCTACGTAAACGAGGTGAGTGAAAAAATCCAACCAGCCCCAAATTTTGGCGAGCGATCCCGTACGTGAAGAATGTCTCGGAAGACGTCAGCTGCTACCTTACGCCCCTTGTAATTGGAGTTGCACATCGACGGGAGGGATGCATAAGGCACCATATCATGAGGCCGAAAGGCCCACTGCCACGACAGTAAATATCTGGAGTCGTTTACCGTGTTTGGTGCAGTTGCAGGCAAAGCAACTATGTTGGGCAATCCACTACCCTTATCTGACTCCGTCTCTGATGATGGATTCGAATGAGAATCCGAAACGTCCGGCTAATAAAGCACCTGTTCTAGCGATCGTGTGTCCTTCTCCGCGACTACTTGCCGGAACTCGCCTCGTCGCTTCTATTAGCAGGTTATGGAAGGTCGACCTGAAGGCCTTAGGACGGAAGGCGTCGTCGTCTCGCGAGGTGGCAGGGAACCCGCAAATCTTATGTGACGGCCCAACCACCGTACCGTTGAGTTCGTGTAGTTACAAATGGACGGTCAGTCAAACAAAGGCTGCGAAACCGATGGCTACAAATGCGGGAAGACACCCTGTGAAGTAGCTGTCGATCAACAAACCGATTTACAGTAGACTTCAGCTAAGTGAGTCAACAGTTTACTTGGCGCAACTGCTTAAGAGCAGTAACGATTCGCGTTTATATCAAAGATCTATCTCGGTTGTCAGGGTCATCGTTTCGCCTAACCATGACAAGGCTAGGGATAGTCTAATTTATGACAGAGAACGAGACGGTCGGTCAAATTGTTGACAAAGGCACCACATGCCTCTGGATCACGCTGGTCCATATGTTGTGGACGCAGGATACGGTGAGGCGCAAACAAGGGCACTCTAGACGACAGTGAGAGCTTGACGCAAGGCGATAACTTCAGGCAAACACCAGTGTCTGGTCGCATAATCACGCCACACAATGCCACCAACATAGGTCCGACACCAGTTGGCGCAACTGACCCACTGAACCTGTGGCAATCCTTTGATTTTAGGATGAATAAGATGATTGTCAGGACGGGATCACTGAGCAACTTGTCGATCGCCTAGACAGAGTGGATCGGGAATACGACGGGGTGGCAAGATAAAATTAAATATACGACGGATTGAATAAAGAGACTTTTATACACGAGGCCAAGGAATATGCCCCCTCTATGAACTAGATGTATGAGCAGATCTCGTTCGATAGCACTCGATAAAAAAAATAAGACGTCAAGGTAAATTTGACAATTCCCTCCAATTCAGGTGTTTTGGCGGATTTCAAATAATTCAGCTCGACCCAGTTGTAAAGAACTCGGTGCCTCGGTGGGACTCGAACCAACGACAGCAAGGGGAGGCTTTAGTACAGCCAATGCTCTAACTATCTGAGCTACGAGGCCCCACCGGACGACGCGAGGCACCAAGTTCTTCACAGTTGGGTCAAAGTGGATTATTTGAAATCTGCCAAGACACCTCTGGATTACGTGAGCCCGGTGGGCATCTGGTGGATTCTAGATGCATTACTTAGGAAATCCCGCGTCGAAAGTCAGCTTACTGTATCCGATTTGGTGGATTCCGGAGGTTGCAGTAGGCTAGGCGGGTAAGCTTGACCCAAATGTGATTAAACTCGCGTTGTCCGGTGGGGCCTCGTAGCTCAGATGGTTAGAGCATTGACTGTACTAAAGCCTCCCCTTGCTGTCGTGGGTTCGAAACCCACCGAGGCACCGAGTTTTTCACAGTTGGGTCAAAGTGAATTACCCCTGAAACAATTAGTGTACTCGCGCTGTCTACACTGTAGTAGAAAACCGCAGTAGCGTAAAACAGTACGACTATAATGTCTGTTCCAAAAATCGTCTAAACGCACGTTAGTTTGCCACGCAATAAATGGCTGCATTCAACATTTTTGACTTCTGTATTACAAACTCAGTACTAAAGGTCAGTGGCAAAGACAATAGACCAAGGGGGCCAGAAGCTTTTGATTTGGAATCTACTGTACGCAAAGAGTGCAATTGGTAAAAACGGATAGTAATAGGCGCGTACTCTTGAGAAAGGAGTAAATTGACTGGGAGTGCACGAGGTGTTCTCGTTGTCTGCTTGAGACTAGCTGGCTGCAGAGGGTACTGCAGACGGCGCGGATGAGATCGCGAGATGCTGTTCGAGGTGTACCTTGGGGGTGTTGATCGAGGGATTTTCTTGAACCATGAGGCTGTGAGCCGGGATCAGTGGGTGCTGTAGTTACGAAGGATTTAATCTGAAGAAAAGCAGACATGAAAAACATTTAAACGAGGGTACGGCGTACGTCCAACTTAATAATCGACATTCCCAGAGCAGCATATTCCCCTTGTAGGTGATATAAGAGTTTTTAAAGTGGCGACGCTTTCGGAAACTTCAGTAAACTGAGCACTCCAACATGCGAGACTTGAATGCAAGATCACAGTAACAAGCCCGAATCATGAATCAGAGAAGTGATTCTTAGTCAAAATAAACCGATGGAAGTGTGGGATTAGAAAACCTAAAATTTATAATGCAGTCTAGGCGATGATGTGGCAGTGTTCAGAACTACCCAGTTCCTGGGTGGCAGATGACAGATGATGCCTAGAAACAGCTGTAGAATTGCTGAATGCCGATTGGAACTGAAAACGTAACAGTTTTAACGTGGTTCCGGACTTCAGGTGCTGCAGTGTGGACTAGTTTCCCACGGTGGCCCAAGGGCAGGACGATGCATAACTGGGCGAAACAACTCTTTAGTGTTTTACGTCGATGAAGAGTCGTACTTGTTTGTGAAAGCAAGTTTGCCAATGAGTGATGAAATAAATTAATTGCGCGCAATAAATCATGTCCCGACTGAAAAATCGCCCGTCCTAAGCATCATATGCTGCAATTAGCCTAAGTGACGCTGTTACGGGGGTTAAACGTCAGTAGGTGATTTGAGCTTCTACGACTGCTACAAACAGCTTATGGTGTAAGTTGTCCAGTTAAGTGACTGTGCATAAGAAACGGTAACTTGATGCCACTGACGCGCTAAAGGGAAGGGGGGGGTCAAACCAAGCACGTGAACCAAAAACAGTAATGTCAGCGCAATCATAAGAAACTTACATTGGAATTATTAACAATGATCGAATAAAATTTTTGGTATAAGCCCTCTGCTTCCTCAAAGCGCAGTGAGGGGAACACTGTGTTTCCTGGTGCATTTCCACACGATTCGGAGCTGTTGGTATTTGATGCTGGCGAGTCAGCAGTGGTTTTAGTCAGTGGTTGTAAGTTCCTATAATCGAGGGATACAGGCGTTCTGGTACCACTTCTAGAGGTGGCCGACGTCGAATCACAGGAAGAATCTCGGCTAAGACATCTCTGAACAGAATGTGGGGTTGCAGGAAGCTCGGTAATGGACGGAGGTGTTTCGAGAGAGAATGAAGCCACTGGAGAATCAACCTTCCTGATTGACGGTGAAGATGATCGCAGATTAGAACGTTTGCTGCGAGTAGACTGTTCCTGTGAAGGTCGTCTGCGGTGGTTGACAGTGGACTCCGCACCTGATTTTGCCGTGCCATGAGATTTGGCAGTAGATAAAACATGCGCATTCGGTGACGATCCCAACGTCAACTGAGTCTCGATATATCCCAGAATTATCGATATAAAAGCCAAATTTGGTTCCGAGGCGGAATTCCAGGTATCATCTGAGATGCGACAGTGTTGAAAGATATCTTCGAATAAATCCGTAACTGATTCGACTGAAACGAGTGGAAAATAGCGTCGCCAAGCGCGCATTGAGGCCAAATTGGACGAACGCAACGTCATATTTGGTGCACTGAAGAGGAAACGGACAAGTTTACTGGGTGGTTTTAACATAGTGACAGAATATGAACTCCAAATGAGCCGTACCTTCATCGAGAGGACATAAAAGATCAGACATGGCTGAAACTATCTATGCTTGGCACTTACAGAAGCAGAAGAGCCTTGAGGACGTTAAACGAGCCGCTACTAAATCTATCTATATGGTCCCTCAGGTAAGCGAAGCGACACTACATCAAACGAGACAGAACTGCAATCTAGATGTTTCGCGAACCCATTGTCCATATCAAGGCCTCAAGGGGCGTCAGTCAGTCTTAAACAGAAAATCAAGTCGATGAGCATGAAATCTAGTTCCTGCAGTACACTCGGATTTTACTGTCTATTGTCCAGGAAGCAACGAACGAAGGCACTAGTTAAATTTCCGTCAGTAGTTTCTAGTTTTGTATGACGCAGTGAAGGCACGGAAACATGCCAAAATTTTGCCGTCCGCTTAATTTTCTTCATCTGGTGCTGGAGACGTGCTGCAAATCATCAAGGAATCGAGGTTGACAGAGTAACTCGATTTGAGTAAAATGAGTTCCTCAATCTGTCATTAAACGAATGTTTTCTCTGCGTTGATGTGTGCAGGGTGGACATCGAAACGGTGTAGTGCTAATCGTCTGCAGTGCTAAGGGCTACTATTATTATGAAACGGCAATTAAAATGCCCAGCAGAAATCACAATTGGTTAATCAATGGGAGTGCTCTGCAGCAATGAGTGAAACCGCAATTGGAAACACAAAAAGTGCTGTAACCACTCTGCACATCTCAAATGTCTGCCAATAAAAACTCGGTACGGAGGCCGCTTGAAGACGCTCGAATAGTGATGCAGGAGCAAAGTTGTTAATTTGCCTACTTCTTCTACTGATGAGGGGCGCCAAACGGCAACATCACCATGTGCAGTCCGCTGTTCCCAGGGCCTAGCTTAAATTACTTAATTCAGTGTTAACGTCGGTCTCTACTTCCGTCGCGTGCGTGTTTCCTAATAGAATCGAGACAGGAGCTAAATATCTATCATTAGGGGGGTTGTGACCGCATGTCTAGGTCGAAATTGGAGACCGATTCGTGAGTGCCGTCCAGGTGGCGCGTGAGGGCCCATAGGGTTCACAATGCTTGCAAGTACGAGCACATGGTTTATGCGTGATACCCCGGACGACGATGTTCGAATCCGTAACGTTTATTCCGAATCTACTTATGTCTTCTGCCCGTCAACAGACACTAAGATTTAGAAAAATAGGAATCATAGTTAGGTGCCAAGGCTTGTGTTGGATGTTTTACGTCTACAATTGACCTTCACCCGAACTTAAAATAAACATGGTCTATATAGGGCATGTAACCTGAAAATTCGGACACCCGACCGTTAAACCAATAAGCAATCAGCATAATATTAGTAATAAAAAGCAACACATAAGCTAGGACAGTGCTAAGGCGTTGCCGTCGCGGTGCATGCAGACGAAGGAACACTGAACAAAACGCAAACCAACACGACACAAGGAAAATGCTTCTAAAGGATGTTTTGCAGTTGAAGTGTGCATGGGTGATGAATTAAATAAGGACAAGCGAGTCATCTGCGCTGTCTGAATCGATATACACAAACAAACATACTTGGAAAAACAAAAACGCGCAAGACGGAACGGCTCTTAAGGCTATATGGGCTAAGCCAAAATTGAGCAGTTCAAAATTGTCCAGATTCTCAATTACGCGAAGGAAAATGAATGTTGAAGTACACAATTTCATCTATAGTCTAATAATCCCGCACATCTTGTTCCTATACTGCGAAGGGCGGTGTCAGCAAATGCCTGAGTTTTCGGTAAATTTTTAAAAGGGGGATTGTTTCGGCAGAATAGTCTGCAAATAAGCAAATTTCGACTGCTAATAATATAGAAAGAGAGATACTGACGCAATAAATGCGTAATCCCACCAAAATTTCAAATGAAATTTTCTAACGAAACGTCTAAATGGCGGTTAAATCTAGCTGACATCTGTGAAAAAACGTAAAAAAATCGTCCATTTGCGCTCATTCGACAATCCATGTGAAAATCCCATATAATAATAAGCACAACACTGAGCACTTATTTACAGGCATAACCAGCACATATATATGTAGAACAGAGGTGGTATGCATCCCGAAACGATATAATGAAAAAGGAAGAGGTTCTTCGGAAAAATTGGGCTGTACTCGTGAATTTTCGAGCTGGTGACACCAACCTGTCGCACACGAAATGAAAACAAGTTAAAAAGTATTTGTCACACAAGACTGGTTAGCTCTACAGGACAGACAGACAACTGTCCTATGAAAGGGCTGGTCACAGAGTCATGGTAGGTCACTGAACGAGGGGAAGGGGAGGCGGAACAATTACGCATCCTTGTGCTGGAGGAGGAGGAGGAGGAGGAGGAGGAGGAGGAGAAGGAGGAGGAAGAAGAAGAAGAAGAAGAAGAAGAAGAAGAAGATGATGATGATGATGATGTTGATGGTGATGGTGATGATGATGATGATGATGATGATGATGATGATGATGATGATGATGATGATGATGATGATGATGATGATGATGATGATGATGATGATGATGATGATGGATGGATAGTAGATCAATTGCACCCCGGGTGACTGAATTAGCGGCGTTTGATGTAGGATTAGGGCAGGGGGTAGTAATTCGTGAGTATAGGCCCTCGCACTTGGCGTCTAGGTCAACATGGCGGTTGATACTACCAGCAGTGTTTTACCAAGCCTCGAGAAATTATCTAGCTCGTCCTGTGTTAGACATGGCGACGACCTCAGTGCCATACCAATTTAATCGGTAGTCGCACTGTAGTACGTGAGCGAAAACGAGGGGCAAGGAGTCTTGCCGACGGACAGGCAGTTTGTGTTCACTAATACGGTTGTCTAGGTTTCGACCTGTGTGACCAACAGACATGCAAGAGCAATTTGCGCACGGAATGCCATAAATTGTGTTTGTTTGTTGCTCTTTGTGGAGGGATCATTGATTCGGGATAGTGCTGCGCTTAGTGAGGATGCTGGTTTTTAGACGATGTGAATTTCAGAGCGATTTAACCGCCGGTCGATTACCTCAGGCGTTCATGAATATAAGGCAGGGAGAAGAATTAGCGGGACACAATTTCCTCGTTGAAGGTGGGACCTTACGGTTGTGTCTGGTGCTTGAGGCAGTTCTTAACAAAACTTTTTGGATATCCGTTAGATCGAAACAACCGATCTAGATGGTCAATCAAGACATGAAGTCAGCCCACATCATTGACATATCCCCAACAATGACAAAATTATATCGATTTTGGGTGTTTATATTGTAACTGTTTTTCACGGGGAACCGCTGTCGGATATTTACGAAATAAAAGTTAACCCACGTTCGCGAAGGCCTCATTATTTTTCGAAATATAGATGTCATCAGCAATATTTATGACTGGCGCACTCAACAGAGCCATAGATCTGCATCCTGCCTATCAGGCGCTACGTACAAGACTCGAGTCAGTGCGGACAAGGCCATCAGGACAGTCGAGCAAAGTGACGCGCGGCCGACAGCCGATGTCAGCAGAAAGTGGGAGAGAAGCCGGCCGGGAATCATGTGATCAGCATGCGACGCCACCTCACCGCTACACCCACGAGGCTGAGATCAACTCACATGAGCCCCAACAACTGTTCAGTCCGTTGAGTGACGAGGGGGAGGCCGACAAACATGCTGGCTCACCAACAATTACGACGGCCGAAAAGGGGTCATTAGTGGCAGGAGCCCACCGGCGGTCAATCGTGGAGAGGTCAACGCTAATCGGCGGCGAACGGGCAGGTCAAAGTTCGTGCCTCGCGCACGGATATAATACCAGGCAGGTATCAAGGCTGACGCAATCAAGACCAGCAGGAACAGTCAACGTATTACTCTGATGATGGAAATGAGAGGGTTTCCGAAACGTCAGTACAAATAAAACTCGGTCCATGAATTCGCCCCATTTTCTTCTTCGTCTTCTTCGGGGGATGATGAACGGGATATATATATATATATATATATAATGGTAGGGGGCGCTCACCGATCGTTATTACGGAACTCACTCGTTAGATGTGGTTAGAGGCGCGGCCTTCTAACTAACAGGCTGCGAGTTCGAGCCTCGGGTGTTCCAAACTTCGGGGTCGGGTATGACTGACTGACGACGGCTGATAAGCCAGAACTGGACATTCTAGTCTCCCTTGTCTGTGTCGGTTATCCCGTTCTGCCTATATCATGCGCCGCTGTGCGGCTGCTGGTTGGGCTCGAGATAGAGCCCGTAAGACACAACGGAACGAGTGAGTTCCGTAAGAACAATCGGTGAGCGTCCTCTACCATTATATATATATATATGCATGTCACTTGGGCGTTTGACCCTCACTGTTGTGGTTAGGATCGCAATGAATCCCAACCGCAGCAGTGAGGTTCAAACGCCCACTTGACATGCTTACATGCCTCACTTCATAAGGCCTATGACGCACTGATAATCGGTAACGACCGTGAAACAACTGTCTGTGTCTGCCCTTTTGCACTCTTAGCGAGCTGCCTACGTATTAAATACACATATATGCATGTATTGGAAGGCAGGCATCTCAAAAGGTATAAGTTGAACATGGCAGCTTCTTTTAGAAAAGAAAGAACTTTATTAGTAGATTTTCGAAACTGGTTCCCCAGCTCGTCGTCAGACTACTGGGTTATGTTCAACAACAGTTAACTATTTAAGCCGCATCGAACAAGTGATTCCGTGGTTGGCCGAAGTCTGCGCTAATGCGCGTCAATGATATTTCGTTATCCCCTCGGCATTGGTTTTGTTCGCCACCATTTGCCTTTGAGATGTTTGTACGTGGCATCTAGATCGATATGCCGATTGATGCATGCCTCATCTGAGTGCATTGCTTCCAGGAATTCGCGGCCTTTCCTTATTGGGCAGGCGCCAACAATGCGAGTGTTCTCCCACGCAAATTTGTGTCCAGTGTCCAGTGTGCGCATAGCCACCTGGGATATGGGATCTCGTCTCTTCACCGCTAACTGATGCTCATGTATGCAGGGAGAGGCAGATTACCAGTCTGGCCACAATAGACGGCATCACAATTGGTACATGGAATCTTGTAGACAACACCTTTTCTATCGAGGTAGTCAACCCCGTCCCTATGGTGTACAAGCTGTGTACGCAAGGCGTTTGCAGGTTGGTGTGCTACCATTATCTGATGCTTTTTTCAGCTGCCTTGCGACGAGCTCAGATAACTTTTTCGCGTATGGGGAGAATACACCAGGTAAATGGTTTTGGTCCCTGGGTGGCCGTATTGTTCGAAATACCTTTGTGTTTAAACTAACTGTGCAAATCATTGACTGCAGTATTTCGAAAGTCCTTTCAAGAAGGCGAGCTCCCGGAAAAATGGAAATGTGCACCCATTGTCCCGATCCATAAAGGAGGTTCACGACATGACTGCGAAACTCATCGCCCCGTCAGTCCTACTTGCATTGCTTGTAAAATAAGGCACATTGTCAAAAGACATTTGATGCAATACATGGAAAAACAAAACGTTGCGTGATGCCCAATATGGCTTTCGTCGAGTACGCTCCTGATTAACGAGTTTTATTTACTCGCACGCGAAATATTCAAGGGGTACCAATGAGAGTTATCCGGTGTACGTCATATTTTGGCTTCAAGAAGGCCTTTGATAGTGTCCCGCATATGCTTATTTTACAGAAGATCTGGAATATAGGAATTAAAGGAAAAATATTTAGGTGGGTCAGTCGTCGTTGCTAACTCTACCTTGGAATGGACAAAGGTGGAAAGTGATGTCCCACAGGGTTCTGCTTTAGACCCAGTACTCTTCCTGATTTATGTTAATGACTGCATCAGCGAAATGAATTGTGAGGCCAACATGCTTGCGAGCGACATAAACATTTGCAGTGAGGTCATGTGCGATTATTACGCAGAGACGTTGCAGTCGAACATCGACAAACTGAGTGTTTGGTCGAACATATGACTTTTGAAGTTTAACGTGTCCAAATGCGCGGTCTTGTACTTGAACACTGGCCGAAATACCTCTCATAAACACCAGCACTATATTAACTGGACGGTGTTAGAAACTGCAGAAAGCAACGGAGATCTGGGTGTATGGACGACCACAAATCAATCGCCATCACAGCACTGTAGAAAGATGGTCCAGAAGACAACTAGTACTCTACACTGGATCAGACGCGAATTTAAAATATTCCCGCCCGAACTCTTCGAAAGACCTTTTAGCGTCTTTGTAAGACCCTATCCGGAGTATGGAATGCCAGGAACTTCACCATGCATGAGGGAGGATACTGATTTACTCGAAAAGGTGCAACGCACAGCAACGAAGATGGTTGACTGACTAAAGCATTTGTCTTGCCAGGAGAGGCTGAATGTGCTTGACTTATTCCCTCTCTCTCTTATAGGCAGCTAAATTGCAGTCATCTCTGGAGATTCCGGATTGTCCGTGACCAAGTTTGTTTACTAAGAATGGATAACTTTTCTGAGTTTGCCCGAACAAACCAATTTCGCGGTTATCCTTACAAAATCAAGAGTTAATGAACGCGGCTAGACCGACGGAGGTTTTCATTCAGCCAACGGGTTGTCCGACCATGGAGCTCGCCACCAAGTTAGATCGTGACGGTTGACACAGTTTCCATGTTTGAAAGAATACTTGCTCGTTTGATTTTCGACGGAAACGGACATTTTCAACATGAATACTCACAGCCAGCTCTGTAAAACACTTGGTCAAACACAAACTTTCCGTACTGACTTATAGTGAACGGATGAGCACCCTTATCATTACGATGGTCCTGTGATCCAATCAAATTGTAAACGTCTGCAACATTATTTTGAGTGCGAACTTATGAAGGCATTGTACATAAATAGGGTCATCAGCGGCTCTTCCCCCAGCCCTTGAAATACATACATACATAGATTGCATTTGAGCTAACGAAAAGAGCTAACAATATCAAACTGTAAGTGCCACAGGAAGAAAAAGGTGGACCTTGTGATGGCTGTTGTGTCGAAGTGGTCAGTATGGTTCAAAGTCACTGTACTTTATGATGGGTTCGAGCAGGAATTTGAAACGTCAAGCGAATAAAGCTCTTGTTCCAGCGATCATGTTTACGTCTTCACGACTACTCCCTGGCACTCGTTTCCTTGCTTTTATTGGCAATGGTTTAAAGCCCTGAGTGGACTGAGTGCAGGACAGTTTAAAAGTTTAAGCAGCTAAAAGAATCCCTTTTTTAATCGGTGAAGACAGGAAGGATCGAAAATTGTGAATTTACAATGCTCTTTGTATTTCGAAGCTAAAACTTGTGGTGAAAAAAATGGTGGACAGATTTTCTCGTCATCTTCTGAGCAACGCCCAGGGGGCATGTTAAAGCGAACAATATTCCAGGCCAGGCGTATCGTGAATTTTACAGAGACGTGGTCTAAAGTCACCAATGTGAGAATTTTGGAGGATAAATTCGGTTCTTCTGTGAGCTTTGGAAACAATTTGGACACAATGCTCTGAAGAATTGGGTAACTTGAAGCATGGCATAACCAGATCCCTAATAACACCCGATACATTTTTGTCGTGACTAGCGGGGCCTATTCGAGATTGAC